CTTTTGTTTAATAAATGTATGAAAGAGGGGAAGGTACCTAGGGATTGGCGGAGAGCATGTATAATCCCTTTATATAAAGGGAAAGGGAACAAAAGAGATTGTACAAATTATAGAGGAATAAGTTTACTGAGTATACCAGGAAAAGTATACGATAGGGTTATAATTGAAAGAATTAGAGGTAAGACAGAATGTAGGATTGCGGATGAGCAGGGAGACTTCAGAGTGGGTAGGGGATGTGTAGATCAAGTGTTTACATTGAAGCATATATGTGAACAGTATTTAGATAAAGGTAGGGAAGTTTTTATTGCATTTATGGATTTAGAAAAGGCATATGATAGAGTGGATAGAGGAGCAATGTGGCAGATGTTGCAAGTATATGGAATAGCTGGTAAGTTACTAAATGCTGTTAAAAGTTTTTATGAGGATAGTGAGGCTCAGGTTAGGGTGTGTAGAAGAGAGGGAGAATACTTCCCGGTAAAAGTAGGTCTTAGACAGTGATGTGTAATGTCACCATGGTTGTTTAATATATTTATAGATGGGGTTGTAAAAGAAGTAAATGCTAGGGTGTTCAGGAGAGGGGTGGGATTAAATTTTGGGGAATCAAATTCAAAATGGGAATTGACACAGTTACTTTTTGCTGATGATACTGTGCTTATGGGAGATTCTAAAGAAAAATTGCAAAGGTTAGTAGATGAGTTTGGGAATGTGTGTAAAGGTAGAAAGTTGAAAGTGAACATAGAAAAGAGTAAGGTGATGAGGGTATCAAATGATTTAGATAAAGAAAAATTGGATATCAAATTGGGGAGGAGGAGTATGGAAGAAGTGAATGTTTTCAGATACTTGGGAGTTGACGTGTCGGTGGATGGATTTATGAAGGATGAGGTTAATCATAGAATTGATGAGGGAAAAAAGGTGAGTGGTGCATTGAGGTATATGTGGAGTAAAAAAAATGCTATCTATGGAGGCAAAGAAGGGAATGTATGAAAGTATAGTGGTACCAACACTCTTATATGGATGTGAAGCTTGGGTGGTAAATGCAGCAGCGAGGAGACGGTTGGAGGCAGTGGAGATGTCCTGTGTAAGGGCAATGTGTGGTGTAAATATTATGCAGAAAATTCATAGTGTGGAAATTAGGAGAAGGTGTGGAGTTAATAAAAGCATTAGTCAGAGGGCAGAAGAGGGGTTGTTGAGGTGGTTTGGTCATTTAGAGAGAATGGATCAAAGTAGAATGACATGGAAAGCATATAAATCTATAGGGGAAGGAAGGAGGGGTAGGGGTCATCCTCGAAAGGGTTGGAGAGAGGGGGTAAAGGAGGTTTTGTGGGCGAGGGGCTTGGACTTCCAGCAAACGTGCGTGAGCGTGTTAGATAGGAGTGAATGGAGACGAATGATACTTGGGACCTGACGATCTGTTGGAGTGTGAGCAGGGTAATATTTAGTGAAGGGATTCAGGGAAACCGGTTATTTTCATATAGTCGGACTTGAGTCCTGGAAATGGGAAGTACAATGCCTGCACTTTAAAGGAGGGGTTTGGGATACTGGCAGTTTGGAGGGGTATGTTGTGTATCTTTATACGTATATGCTTCTAAACTGTTGTATTCTGAGCACCTCTGCAAAAACAGTGATAATGTGTGAGTGTGGTGAAAGTGTTGAATGATGATGAAAGCATTTTCTTTTTGGGGATTTTCTTTCTTTTTTGGGTCACCCTGCCTCGGTGGGAGACGGCCGACTTGTTGAAAAAAAAAAAATGTAAATAGCGTGCTGAAAATTTCCAGCCAAGACAGGACTCGCAGCAATGGTTTCAAGTTGGAAAAATTCAGATTCAGGAAGGATATAGGAAAGCACTGGTTTGGTAATAGAGTTGTGGATGAGTGGAACAAACTCCTGAGTACAGTTATTCAGGCTAAAATGCTGTGTAGTTTTAAAAATAGGTTAGATAAATACATGAGTGGGTGTGGGTGGGTGTGAGTTGGACCTGACTAGCTTGTGCTGCTGGGTCTGGTGCAGTGCTCCATCCTTGAGTTTAGGTGACCAGACTAGGTGGGTCATTGGGCTAATCCAGGGGGGGGTCATTGGTCTTATCCAGGGGGGTGGGGACATGGACCTGCTCCACATGGGTCAGTAGGCATGTTGCAGTGTTCCTTCTTTCTTATGTTCTTATTCTTATTCTTCAATTAATACTTATTATATATGTCTATTGTATCATTTGATGATTTTAACAGTCCTCCCTATCAAGATTTTTGGACTACACTTTTTGATGAGACTGGTATGGTGATACTGACAAGTTGTAGATTAAAGACATGCACTGATCAACACATTTATTAAGAAAAAGGTTTCAAAGTAAGTGGCTTGCTTATTAGGACTGAAGAAGTCACTCATGGTGAAATATTTCCTTGAATTTTACCTGCACATTATGAATTGCACTGCAACAAAATTGTAGTATGAGAAGTTGCATTGTAAAAGGATTTACTCTGAATGTGTGAAATCATTCCTAGTGTGAATGAGGCATGAATTTAATGATCAGGACTTTCAACTCAGGTGGAGATCAATATTATCACTCATTTAAGTTCGGGATGTAGGGCTTTGCAAGAAAGAGATCCTTTGCTATCACATACTGGCCACAGATCATCACCTATGAGTCTAAAAATGCCCTAACATTACAGGTACTAATATATCTCAGATGTCTACCTTCCCATGACAGTGGCTTTGTTTAAATGTATTACTGTATTAATAGAATTCCTATAGTTATTTATTAGAAACAATGCACAGACTACTACACTGTGCTCTGAAGAATAAAACTGATTGTGTGTTTGCTTGATGAACTACAAAAACTGCTGCCTTCCCTGGCAGCTGCTATGTCTCATGTATAATGACTGGAGCTCTGACCAGTGTGAGCCCTTGTTGATTTAGAAGCAATAACTTACTGCAGGATGGATGACAGAAAGCAAGAACGGGAAAGTGACAGATTCCTATAGTGGCTCACTAACTAGACATAGATTTTATTTTTATTTTTCAAAATCTAGTATGTACTAACATATGTAATACAATACTACGTATAAAATTTTTAGCACTGAACTTTCAATGTACATTCAGTATATGAATATACAGTGGTACCTAGGTATACGTCCACTCTGGAATAAGTCCAACCTGATATACATCCTGTTTGGACGCAAAAATTTTTGCTTGGTATATGACCTTTGTTTGGAATACGACTCTAATGCTAGAACTTGCATGGGTCAAAATGAGTCACAACACCGCGTGCTACCCTTGTTTACCTCTCTCTCAAGACAAAGCCATGACTGCTAACTAGTGTCAGTACGCCTGTTGCTACCATTCAGTGAACAACCCCACGATGCAACTGTGAATTTTCACGTGATTTTGTTTTTTCGTATAAATTTTTAGTAAATTCATTAACCATGAATTCTAAGAAAGTTAATGAGAAGAGCCAAGCAATGAAGAAAACGGTTAGGATCACCATGGAGGTGAAAAAAGAGACTGTTGAAAAGTATGACAGTGGCATGTGTATCTGGGACTTGGCTGCTGCATACCGTACGCCGAGAACAACGGTATCTAGGATTGTGAAAAACAAAGATGTTATCAAGTCGGCTAACATTGTGAAGGGGGTGAAATCGATTACCAAACAAAGATCAGGGACAATAGAGAATGTTGAAAAATTGCTCCAAGCTTGCAGGACTATGTGCTGCTGGAGTTTGATTTCATCGCTGTAAAGTTTGAAGTGACCTCTGACACAGAGTTAACCCTGAGAGAGTTTTGGAAAGACCACTTTACTATTGCCCACTGCATAACACTCACTGACAAAGCCTGGCAGGAAGTTTCATACAGAATAATGAACTCTGCTTCCAGGAATTTGTGGCCAGAAGCAGTGGCTGAAAGGGACTTTGAGAGCTTTGAGGCTGTGTCTATAGTGGAGGGTATTGTCTCTCTGGGCAGGTCCATGGGTCTAGATGTGAGTGATGGTGATGTGGAGGGACACTGGGAAGAGCTGACCATTTAGGAGCTGCAGGAACTTGAGAAGGAGAAGCACAAGACTAACACAGATGCACTCTCTTCAGGATCTGAAGAAGAGATAGAGGAAGCCCCTACTTCATTAATCAAGGAAAGCTTTGCCAAATGGATGGAAATCAAAAACTTTGCAGAGAAGTACCACCCCAAACAAGCCGTAATAGCACTGTCTGCAATGACTAGACAATGTCACAATACCAAAACATCCTGAGGCGAAGGCAGAAGCAAAGTTCTTTGGACAGATTTTTAGTAAAAGTCAAACCTGGTGAGATTCAACCAGGTCCAAACAGAGATAAGAGACAGAAAATAGCAGGGGACTCTCCTTCCAAACAATAACATTTCCTCCTCCTCTTCCCTTCTCAGCACTATCCTAGTAGGCACTCAACTCTTTTCAGCAAAGTAAAGCGAGGTTAAATTTGCATTTATTTAATCTAATTCTTTTGTATTTATGTATGTATTTTAGTATTAAGCAGTGTTTAAATTATTTTATACAACCCCATCAATGTATAATACGCCAATACCAATAGGATTTTTTTTTCATGGAAACAGATCAATCGTTTTCCCTACATTTCTTATGGGAAAATTCGTTTGGTACATGTCCTGTTTGGTATGAATCCAAGGTCCTGCAATGAATTAAGGACGTATATCAAGGTATCACTGTACACTGAAGTTTTCAGACTGGATTATAATCTACTGTAATCTTTTAGAGTTACACACTTGTTCCCAAAATAAAAATAGATTTAATGCCCAGAAGTTTATTTTTTTTGAGTAATAGGATCCAATTTCAATAGGAAATTTTAATTTATGACCATACATAGGTGTGTTAATTTTGAAGTAAATCTGAAGAAACATCCTCAACATATCCACCAGAAATGGAATATTAAAGAAATTATTTTAATTTTTTTTTCAAATATACACCTATAACCTGCTTGTACATTATTATGTCATGAGAAATAAATTCTAAAAGTACAACATACTTCTTAAGAACTTCTTGCTTTTTTTGCTCTTCTGAAGTAGGTAATCCCATCTCTTTTTGCCGTTGATCATACATCATCTTTTCAACCATTCCTCGTGTTTCTCCATCCAAGTCACCCAACTTTGAAGGCTCTGGGTTAACCTTCTGAGTGTTGATCTCTGGGTCTGTGGTTACCAAGCGGGTCCACCACTCCATCTTGTTGATCTAAAACAACAGTGGTCGTATTACTAATCAATAAGGTAATATGAAAGGTACATCTAGATAACACTAAAGCAATGTTTTATCATTGTTGTTACACTAAAGCAATGTTTTCATCATTGTTGTTATGTATTTTATACATATAGAAGTTTCATTTACACTTTTCTTCCCTGGTTCATATTAGCTACAGTGCCTGCATTCTACAGGAGGGGTTTGGCATATTTGTTGTTTGGAGGGACATCTGAACTGTTGTATCTGTGCGACTCTGGCAAGACAGTGATAGCATGATTGATGGTTAAAATGTTCTATTTCGGGTTAATAAATACAGTGGACCCCCGGTTAACGATATTTTTTCACTCCAGAAGTATGTTCAGGTGCCAGTACTGACCGAATTTGTTCCCATAAGAAATATTGTGAAGTAGATTAGTCCATTTCAACCCCCAAACATACACGTACAAACGCACTTACATAAATACACTTACATAATTGGTCGCATTCGGAGGTAATCGTTATGCGGGGGTCCACTGTAAATAAATTTACAAAAATATAAATTTTCTTAAAACTTCTTATTAATTTGAAATAGAATCTGTCTATAAATCTCCCATAGCTTCTCTTTCCATTTTTTTCTTTTAGCAAATTTAGCTAGTAATTATGCCATTATTATTAGGCAAACAAGATATACACGAAATGTGAGTAATGCATAGAGAATATACTTTTGGTTAGCCTGATGACACAAAACAGAGTTCCCTACAGAGAACTTGTCCAAGATCAACATACACTGTCAGATACTTTACCAAAAATAAAGCTTAGAATCACCCATTTTACACTTACTGTATGTCCCCTATTATGTTTTCATTTTCAACATACAGTGGACCCCGCATAACGATTACCTCCGAATGCGACCAATTATGTAAGTGTATTTATGTAAGTGCGTTTGTACGTGTATGTTTGGGGGTCTGAAATGGACTAATCTACTTCACAATATTTCTTATGGGAACAAATTCGGTCAGTACTGGCACCTGAACATACTTCTGGAGTGAAAAAATATCGTTAACCGGGGGTCCACTGTATTTGCTAGTGTACAATGCACACCAGCCTACATACTCTTGCCAAAGGGACTATTTAAACTACACCTACACCATGTACTGCCACACTCGCAATCATCTCACGAGCATTTCATCAGCGTCGGATGCAATTTAGAATCTCCTCTCATCACTCCTACCAACACCATCGCTCAAAACACAGGCAATTTTATAATAAGATTAAGGCAGACAAGGATAACAAGCAAAATGTAACACCCTGCTAGTTTTTTGCAAAAATACAATCAATATCATGATAGGGAGATGTCATTACCTTGGTGTTATGTATTAAAATGAAGAACCAAATCCATACGAGTTTTATACATTGCCTTCATGTTATATAGTAATGTATAATTATTATTATACTCATGAGAAAGTACTAAACTCACAGGGGGTCATACAGCCCTGGAAAATGGGAGGTAATCAAATTTGTTAAAAAAAAAAAAATCACATACATATTTGCATCAACTTGAGTTTAAAGATAATTTATCTGCTGGACAATTTATAACACAAAATTAATTTCAGAACATCTATTAACTGTGTACACCTGCTGGAAAGCTATGTTAGGATTATATCTATACAAAAACACTCATTGAAGAGGACTGCACATGCCAGCTGGTAACTGCTCCATTCATAAGTTCATTAATTATCACGTACATATACTAAAATTTACAATCTCCATGAATTAGTATGTATGCTAAAGTTTACCCCTTTCCATTCATTAGTGTGTATATTAAAGTTTACCTTCTCCATTTTCTATAACATCAGTTAAAGGGTTAACTAAGAAAACTTGTGTTACCTCTTTCTTCCCTGTATTTCTCTAACTTGTATAAGTCTATTTCTGCCTTTTCTCTTTGCATTTATTTCTTCCTTTATAAAAAATTGGTTTTAATATAAGGGTGAAAACGTTCTGTGTCTTTAATGAAATGACAGACCTCATAAGTGACAGAGCTGTCATTTCACATGCCAGAACTCATTTCAAGTGACAGAACCGTCATTTCAAGTGACAGAATCGTCATTTCCAGTGACAGAACCATCATTTTAAGTGACAACCGTCATTTCAAGTAACAGAACCATTATTTCAAGTGGCAGAATCATCATTTCAAGTGACAACCGTCATTTCAAGTAACAGAACCATCATTTCAAGTGGGAGAACTGTCATTTCAAGTGACAAAACTCTCATTTCAAGTGACAGAACCGTCATTTTAAGCGACAGAACCGTCATTTCTGCTGTAAATCTTTACACCTTTCAGGATGGTAGTGGTAGCAGTCATTTATAGTGAAGTTTCCTTTTCGTAAGAGTATTACTGAACACTAACCTTATGTAGTGATGTCAAGGGTGTTAGCACACACTGACCTTCTCTAGTGTGAGGACAAGAGTGTTGCCATTGTCAAGGTACCAGTTGCATTCTTCGACCTTGACCTCGTTATAAAGGTCACCTTGGATGATGGGAGTGGTGTTCTTGAGGCCAGCCTTGATGTTGCGTCTGCCCCACTCCACCACCACGTCCCGAGACTTAACCTTCATTCCCAGAGGCACCCATACCTACAAAAAAAAAAAAATTATTAAAAATTGCAAAGGCTCATACACACTAAAGCCTCCAAAAGCTAATAACATCAACTCGGTTAAATGCTTTAAAGACCTAGAGGAAAACTTAGAGTTGGTACAAAGTATTTTCCTCTAGACCTAATGACCTTAAAAACCTTCAACATATTGATGCAGTCATAACCAGTAAAGATATGTAGCAGAATGAAATAGCAAGGAAAATTATATCATTACACCAACGGTACAATTACGTGTTTAGAAAGGCACGAAGGTGATGAAGATATGATAGTACAAAGAATATTTATAACAGAACAAGACATTACGTTAAATAACAAAAAAAGGCACAATACCTTGACTAGAACAATACACAAATAACCAGCATATAGGAGACAGAAGCTTACGACGACGTTTCGGTCCGACGGACTTTGTAAATGGTCCAAGACGGACCGAAACGTCGTCGTAAGCTTCTCTCTCCTATATGCGGATTATTTGTGCATTACATTAACACAAAACTTCGCTCACAGATGAACTTTGCCAAGTTATATATGAGCCAAACATTGAAAATAATATTTCCACTGAGATACGTGTCTGTGTATTATTCTTAAGCAAGTTAACATTTATACCACAGAGTTAACATTAACAACTAACATTTACACTCCCAACTCCATTAACATCAAGATTATTGTTTCCATTTTTAACAACGAGAATAACAGTTTATAAAAAGAACATAATTATAGCATGTTTGAAATTCTAGGTTGACACAAAAATAACAGTGCATTAAAAATTTTAAGGTGTTGTTTATCTGGCAAGAGAGATCAAGATTTATGAAGAAAAAAAATCTATCTTGTCTACTAAGACTGTTCCAAGAAATTGTTAGCAGTTCCAAGAAACTGTTAAGTTTCAAGAAATTGTTAGTAATTTCATGATATTGTTAACAGTTCCAATAAATTTGTGTAAGAAAGGTATAAAATACCGACAATATGAAAGTTAAGACACATGTGCAACATCTGGATATCTTTATTGTAGACGTTTCGCCATCCAGTGGCTTTATCAATACAGATTCTAGGACATAATAGGAAGACAGTAGAACTATATACAAAAGATGAGGTAATCAGTCCCTCGGCCTTGGAGTTAGTGTTCACAGCATCGTGGTGGAGGAGAATCTCTTTGGGAAGGACCTACTTCCACTGGGGAATCCCGCCTACCAGTGACTGCCCTCGTCTGCTGCCCGTCCCTTCCACTGACGCCTATATAAACGTCAGTCTTCTTGCCTTTGCTCCAGATTCTCCTCCACCACGATGCTGTGAACACTAACTCCAAGGCCGAGGGACTGATTACCTCATCTTTTGTATATAGTTCTACTGTCTTCCTATTATGTCCTAGAATCTGTATTGATAAAGCCACTGGATGGCGAAACGTCTACAATAAAGATATCCAGATGTTGCACATGTGTCTTAACTTCCAATAAATTTATCCAGAAGTCCTGAAGGTGGACTCCTAGACTAGGAAAACCGTCTAAATAGGCAATGTTGTTAACCCAGACTGGCTGAGGTGTGCACGCCTGACCATCACTCGACGGAGATTAGTTTCAGTGACGATTCCTTAGAAATACCTTTGATATACCTTTGATGGGTTTCTTTACAAAACAGCTGTCATAGATATTAATACAACAAGTCCGCCTGACGCACACTTCCGGCCCAGTATCTTACTCGGGTCATAATGCCCCTAAACAGAAACAAAAATACGGCAGTACGAGAGAGGTTTGAGGAGAGAATATGGTATAAAATACCGGCATAATGGTAAGAGACAACAAGAATTACATTATAGCTGTAACATCAAGTCTTCAGATGGGTAACAAAGTTACAGTTCAGCTCGTCACGTAAACTCTCTGGGATGCATATATAACCTACACATTGAAGAAATAAACTTATGACGACGTTTAGGTGAGACTCAGGCTATTTACAAGTCATATGTGTGATGAATTAATGGCCCAAGTCGATTGCGATTTATCTGTGAATTGTTCCAGTCACGGTATTATGCCTTTTTATTCTTATCTCTGGGAGCTTGTCAGGTAAGCGAGAACAGGTGAACTCTTGTCTCCTCTACTATGCTTCACTAATAGCTGTGTGCGGAGATCCAATATCATACGTGGATAATTTGACTCGATCAGTTCTGTTCCAGCCTGAGTGTGAAGCTTGAAGTGTGGCCAGGGTACTAGGCATTACCTCAGCCTCCTGGAATTGTCTCCTCACTGTTACCTCTCCCAGCAATGTAGTCAGCCATGTCAGCTAGTTTTATCTGGATGCTAGGCTCCAGAGAAGCAAGTACTTTGTTTCAGTGGCGTTTGACCTTGAGTACGTGTGTACTACAGCGCTCAGCACTCCCTTGCTAGTTTCAACCACATCTCTGGGTACAGCATAGCTTGGTGGTAAATATAACTTCGTGTATCGGTAAATACACCCCAGCGATCATTCTAGCTCCAAATATACACGAAAACACACACTAACCATCATCATAACTCCTACAACCAAGAGAATACACTCCTGCCATCATTTTGTCCTTACCTGTAGAAATTTGAAGATATATGTACATAGTCACATGATATTCGTTCTTCACCAGCACTACTACTACTACTACTACTACTACTACTACTACTACTACTACTTTACTCACACTAACAATAAGAACCCTTTTTAACTCTATATAAAATAGTCACATGAAACATTAGCATAGGTATGGCTCACCAACTGCTGTATGGCTTCAGTATTAAGTAAAACATTGTGATATAAAACAACCATGCTAATAACACACAGTTATGCATGGTGATAAAACACAACCTGGCACCATTGTGATAAAAATATAACCAGGCACCATTATGATTTATATATATATATATATATATATATATATATAATATATATATATATATATATATATATATATATATATATATATATGCAAAACAACCACTGTGAAAGAATAGAGAAATTCCAAGCGCTTTCGTGACTACTCACATTATCAAGGAACAATGAAAGTAATGCATCAAAAGTAGGCATATAAAGGGTCTTTTGATGTATTACTTTCATTGTTCCTTGATAATGTGAGTAGTCACGAAAGCGCTTGGAATTTCTCTATTATTTCACAGTTGTTGTTTTGCATATTCTGAAATCACCTGTTTACTGTGATCTTATTGCATAATATACTGAAGCAGCGATTCGGTGGGACACCCTTACAGACTCCTCCAGTAGACCAGCTCCTCCCAAACAGCACAAACAGTCCCACTGGGACAAACCGATCATGGAAAAAATCGCCAACACAATGCTCTCCAATGCTTCAGGAAAGAACAAAGCTCGTCTCCTGGCAGTGAAGGCACCACACTCAGGAGATTTCCTGTTAGCTGTTCCCAATTCCTCCCTGGGCACCCGTCTCGACCCACAGGCCATTCGGATTGGTGTTGCTCTTCGCCTAGCCGCCCCCATCCTCACCGAACATAGGTGTATTTGCGGCAGGGCGACAGCTGATCAATTCGGACTTCATGGTCTCGTGTGCCACACAGCAGAAGGGAAGTATGCCAGACATGAAGAGATCAATTACATAATAAAGAGAAGCCTCGCCACAGCCCGTTGCCCAGCTCAACGGGAACCCCAAGTACAGAGGTCTGATGGAAGTCAAAAGCGTCCTGATGGAGCCACTATGCTACCCTGGAAGGATGGAAAGTAGATTGCCTGGGACTACACCTGTGCTGCCACATTGGCAGACACCTACTTGCCATACTCCGTAGTGGAAGGGGGTGGAGCTGCAGCCACAGGGAGACCCAGAAGATCCGAAAATATGAAGACCTTCACCCTTGTTATAACTTCATTCCAATAGGGTCGGAGACCCTTGGAGCATGGGGCAAGTGTGCTCTAAAGTTCCTCAAAGAGCTGGGTGAAAAGCTCATCATAGAAACCAAGGACCACAGGGCGACCAGCTTCCTCTTTCAGAGACTCAGTGTTACGATCCAGAGAGGAAATGCCTGCAGCATTCCGGGCACGCGGCCCACCGCAGGGGAGCTGGACGAAGTATTCGAGATGTAGCTCTGAGTTACCTATGTTGTTTTACTTTGTTGTATTTTTGTGAATGTTTGGCCAATGTATTTTGTCTTTAAATAAAACATACTTGAAATATAGGGGTGGTAGGAGAAAATTCTCAAACAGCTTCAGGGAGAACCTTGAGTTTTCCCTGAAGCAAGTTTATTCTTTTCTCTGAGGATGAGGGTCCCTACGACAGTTCTAGAGGTGGTACCTCCCTATATATATATATATATATATATATATATATATATATATATATATATATATATATATATATATATATATATATATATATTGTTTGTGTTGTGTTTGTGAGGTAAGTACACACAAGCTCAGCACATTGCGTGTTCACCTTGTCCCACATGATCAATCACTGGCACTTTATTCTTGCACAAGTGTGTACCATGAATATTACACTCAGACGTGACCATACACACACCTGTCTTCCAGCAACATTCAGACGTGACCATACACACACCTGTCTTCCAGCAACATTCAGGCGTGATCATACACACACCTGTCTTCCAGCAACACTCAGACGTGATCATACAGACACCCGTCTTCCAAGAGCACTCTCAGAAAGGTCTATATCAACCAATCGCGGTGAGAGAGAGAGAGAGAGAGAGAGAGAGAGAGAGAGAGAGAGAGAGAGAGAGAGAGAGAGAGAGAGAGAGAGAGAGAGAGAGAGAGAACCATCTTCAAATCCAACAACTACACTTTTTCCTATACACCCAAAACTACCCTTAAACACCCATAACCTCTACTACACACCCATAACTACCTCTTACACATCCATAGCTACTCCTGTGTGTGTTTGTGTATAGTTTAATGCATCGTGTCTTGCTCCTTTTTTAAAAATTGCGACTACATTTGCTGCCCTCCTTACCTCAGGCAGTCACCCTGTTTCGATAGATATGAATGTGTGTG